ATAAGTGACCTGGAAGATAAAATAGTGGACATAACTACTGTAGAGCAGAATAAAGAAAAAAGAATGAAAAGAATTGAGGACAGTCTCAGAGACCTCTAGGACAACATAAATGCACCAACATTTGAATTATAGGGGTCCCAGAAGAAGAAGAGAAAAAGAAAGGGCCTGAGAAAATATTTGAAGAGATTATAGTTGAAAACTTCCCTAATACGGGAAAGGAAATAGTTAACCAAGTCCGCGAAGCACAGAGTCCCATACAGGATAAATCCAAGGAGAAGCATGCAAAGACACATATTAATCAAACTCTCAAAAATTAAATACAAAAAAAAATATTAAACGCAGCAAGGGAGAAACAACAAATAACTTATGAGGGAATCCCCATAAGGTTATCAGCTGATCTTTAAGCAGAAACTCTTCAAGCCAGAAGGGAGTGGCAGGACATATTTAGAGTGATGAAAGGGAAGAACCTACAACCAAGATTACTCTACCCTGCAAGGATCTCATTCAGATTTGATGGAGAAATTAACACTTTTACAGACAAGCAAAAGCTAAGAGAATTCACCATCAAATCAGCTTTACAACAAATGCTAAGGGAACTTCTCTAGGCAGGAAACACAAGAGAAGGAAAAGATCTACAATAACAAATCCCAAACAATTAATAAAATAGCAATAGGAATATACATATCGATAACTACCTTACATGTAAATGGGTTAAATGCTTCAACCAAAAGACATAGACTGGCTGAATGGACACAAAAACAAGACCCATATATATGCTGTCTACAAGAGAGCCACTTCAGACCTAGGGACACATGCAGACTGCTAGTGAGGGGATGGAAAAAAATTGTCCATGCAGATGGAAATCAAAAGAAAGCTGGAGTAGCAATTCTCATATCAGACAAAATAGACTTTAAAATAAAGACTATTACAAGAGACAAAGAAGGACACAACATAATGATCAAGGGATCAATCCAAGAAGATATAACAACTGTAAATATTTATGCACCCAACATAGGAGCACCTCAATACATAAGGCAAATGCTAACAGCCGTAAAAGGGGAAATCGACAGGAACACAATCATAGTAGGGGCCTTTAACACCCCACTTTCACCAATGGACAGATAATCCAAAATGAAAATAAAAAAGGAAACACAAGCTTTAAATGATACATTAAACAAGATGGACTTAATTTTATTTTTAGGACATTCCATCCAAAAACAACAATACCTTTCTTCTGAAGTGCCCATGGAACATTCTCCAGGTTAAATCATATCTTGGGTCACAAATCAAGCCCTGGTAAATTTAAGACAATTGAAATCGTATCAAGTATCTTTTCCGACCACAATGTTATGAGACTAGATATCAATTACTGGAAAAAAATCTGTAAAGTAGTTGTTACAAAAAATTTTAAACTCATTCATTTTCCTCATTTTCTTTTGTTTTATTTTTTCTGAACCATTTGAAAGTAAGTTGCAGATATCATGACAGTTCACATCTAAACACTTCAGTATGCATCAACCAAGAATAGGTTGGTTAGAAATTTTTCTTTTCTTTTTTTGGTCACACACAGCTTGAGGGATCTTAGTTCCCCAAAAAGGGACCAAACCCGGCCCCAGCAGTGAAAGTGCTGAGTCCTAACCACTGGACCGCTAGGGAATTCCTTTGAAAATTTTCTAAACAACTGCAAGACTTTTTTTTTTTAAACATTTTTATTGGAGTATAATTGCTTTACAATGGTGTGTTAGTTTCTGCTTTATAACAAAGTGAATCAGCTATACATATACATATATCCCCATATCTCTTCCCTCTTGCGTCTCCCTCCCTCCCTATCCCACTCCTCTAGGTGGTCACAAAGCACCAAGCTGATCTCCCTGTGCTATGTGGCTGCTTCCCACTAGCTATCTATTTTACGTTTGGTAGTGTTATATATGTCCATTGCCACTCTCTCACTTTGTCCCAGCTTACCCTTCCCCCTCCCCGTGTCCTCAAGTCCATTCTCTACTTCTGTGTCTTTATTCCTGTCGTGCCCCTAGGTTCTTCAGAACCATTTTTTTTTTTTTTAGATTCCATATATATGTGTTAGCATATGGTATTTGTTTTTCTCTTTCTGACTTACGTCACTCTGTATGACAGACTCTAGGTCCATCCACCTCACTATAAATAACTCAATTTCGTTTCTTTTTATGGCTGAATAATATTCCACTGTATATATGTGCCACATCTTCTTTATCCATTCATCTGTCGAAGGACACTTAGGTAGCTTCCATGTCCTGACTATTGTAAATAGAGCTGCAGTGAACACTGTGGTACATGACTCTTTTCGAATTATGGTTTTCTCAGGTTATATGCTCAGTAGTGGGATTGCTGGGTCATATGGTAGTTCTATTTTTAGTTTTTTAAGGAACCACCATACTGTTCTCCATAGTGCCTGTATCAATTTACATTCCCATCAACAGTGAAAAGTGCTCGCTTTTCTCCAACCTTCTCCAGCATTTAGTGTTTGTAGATTTTTTGAGGATGGCCATTCTTACTGGTGTGAGGTGATACCTCATTGTAATTTTGATTTGCATTTCTCTAATGATTAGTGATGTTCAGCATGCTTTCATGTGTTTGTTGGCAATCTGTATATCTTCTTTGGAGAAATGTGTATTTAGGTCTTCTGCCCATTTTTGGATTGGGTTGTTTGTTTTTGATATTGAGCTGCATGAGCTGCTTGAAAATTTTGGAGATTAATCCTTTGTCAGTTGCTTCATTTGCAAATATTTTCTCCCATTCTGAGGGTTCTCTTTTCGTCTTGTTTATGGTTTCCTTTGCTGTGCAAAAACTTTTAAGTTTCATTAGGTTCCTATAATATATTTTTGATACAAATCTTTTCAAGTATATGATTTACAAAAATTTTCTCCCATTTTTGGGGTTTTTTCACTTTCTTGGTAGTGTCCTTTGAAGCACAAAAATTTTAAATTTTGATAATATTCACTATATCTATTTTCCTTTTGTTGCTTGGTATATGTTTTATATACCTAAAAATGTAGAGAGACTTTTTAAATGTACATTGTGAAATATTTAAAAATAATGTGGGTTTTTTGGTCAATGAATATTTATTTTATTTTTAATTGTGGTAATATATACTGTATTAGTTTGCCAGGGCTGCCATAACAAAGTACCACAGACTGAGTGGCTTAAGCAACGGAAATTTATTTCCTCACAATTATGGAATCCAGAAGTCCAAGGTCAAGGTGCTGGCAGGATTGTTTTCTTATAAGGCCTCTCTTGTTGACTTATAGATGGTCAAATCTTCTCCTGGTGTCTTCTCATGGTCTTTACTTTGTCTTTCTCTGCGTCCTAGTTTCTTGTAAGGACATTGTCATATTGGGTTAGGACCTACCCTAATGACCTCATTTAACCTTAATCATCTTTTTAAAGATCCTGTCTCCAATTACAGTCACATTCTGAGGTACTCAACGTTAGGGCTTCAACGTATGAGTTTTGAGGGGACACAGTTCAGCCCACAGCATATACAAAACATAAAATTGACCATTTAAACCCTTTTAAAGTATGCAGTTCAGTGGCATTAAGTATGTTAACATTATCCTGTAACCATCACCACCAACTATCTCCAGAATTTTTATCACCTTTTAATACTGAAATTGTACCCATTAAACAGTAATTCCCCTTTCTCCCCTCCTTTGCCCCTGGAAACCACTGTTCTACTTTCTGTCTATATAAAACAATGTTTTAAGACAGTTTTTTTCATCATTAGTGAGAGTCTTCAAAGTTCCCCCAAATTAATTATTTTTATGCTAATCTGCAAAGTATGCACAAACTTTTACCTAGCTAAGAGGTTTCTTATACTCTTATATACAAAATTTTGTCCTTATTTGTATATCTGCCTTTTTACTGGGAGAGATTCCAGATTTCTCATCATCAGATTCTTAACTACAGCCCTGGAGACTTATACTAGTCTTGTTTTATTATTTTTCAAGATAATTCAATGTTTTAATTTTTTAATTTGATTTTAAGTTGATAAGGTGATGTGTAGTTTACAGTAATAAAAGGTAAGTGAAAGTTTAAATGTGTTTCGGTCTTATTGTTTTGTAACCTAATGAATCTAATGTTTATTTGCTATTTTGAAAAGGGTCAATACTTTTTTCAGAATATTTTTTCTAATTCTCTTCATTTGGGGAGATTTTATTTTTTATTCCTACTCTGCACTTTACTGTTTTATACCCTGTTAGGTATGTGTTGTATCAACTCTGCATCTCATTGTAAATATAGATATTAAAGAAAATATTTTCCATGTAGAATAACCTCTCAGAATTATTGTTGTCTTCGCTTTATTCATACATTCATTCAGCAAACATTTATTGAGTATAATATGGTAAACATTGGATATACAAAGAAAAATAAGACATAATTTTTGTCTTCAAGGAGGTAAAAAATGTACCTAGATGCATCTAAATAAATTATTATATTTGAAAGAAGAGTAAAGAAAGAAGGAGTTGTGGTTGGTCCAAACAGGAAACACAGTGGAGAAACTCAGAATCATGGAGATGCCAAGCCCACGGGCAGGTGACCACTAGTTGGAATGGCTGAAACTATTGACTTGGACGTAGAGAAGGAGTTGCTGGAGATGAGGCTTGAATGGTTGGAGCCAGGTTTTGAAGACCTTTATTTAAATACTATGATAAAAAGCATATGCAGTGAACATGGAGTTCTTAAGCATTTTTAAGTCTCAGAGTGAAAAACAGGATCTGAGACTATTAGGTGATGTTAGCTACTCTTATTAAATAGTAATTAAATGCAATCTGAATGTATTCATGGTTATGTCATTTAAAAATTGTCATTAGGTGTTTTTTCATAGATTATTGACAAATACTGCTTATTTCAGAATCTCATATTGATATATATTTTTAATATATTTCATATTTGGCATATTTAAACATTTGGCATATTTAAAAATAATATTTACCTTGGCTTTGTGTTTCTTAATTTTTTTCCAGCTATAAGAAAGACCTGATGGATGAGGAACTAATGGAACCTCTGAAATATGCTGAACAACTTCCTGTAGCTCAGATAATACACCAGGTTTGCTTTCCATTTTGTTCTTTTGAAAGAAACAATAATTTTAATCTCTGAAAAGTAATTGCTTTTGTTAGGTTTTTCAGAATCAGTGTGCTATAGCTGAAAGGCATTCCAGGCCGCCTAGCCCTATTTAGACTCCACCTATTACAGTTGGAAATCTCATTCAAAGCACAATATTAAAAGGCTACTTGCTGTGTAACAGTAGAATTCTTGCTTATATAAAATACAGGGTAGAATCAGAATTATCTTTTGCGCATTACTTAACAAGTGTTAATTTCAGAGAACGCTCATTTGCACCATTGTATATGGTACTTGTTAGTGGCAAAGAAAAAGTTGAAAAAATATCATTTGGTATAATTGTTTTGAGTAGCTAAAATGAAAAAGCAGTCTCTCCCTACTTCCTCTGCCCCACCCCATTATCACCTCTTGTAAAGTATCATTCTAAATGTCATGTGGGTAATTTTTTCATTTCCAATTTTAATGACTCTATCATCCCTTTTACATAACTGTAATCTTAAAGAAGGCAGTGTGGTAAGTTTTTAAACTTAGATTTGGTACCGTAATTTTGACAGCATATAAAGTCTGCCCTGCTGGACTAGAATCGAAGAATTTTAAAAGTGATCTGTTGGTGAGAGTTATGGCCTTTAGACTTACCAGATTTTTCGGAGGCTATAGATTATGGGAAATATTAAAAGCCCTTAAATGTCAGAATTTGTCAGAATTTTCATGAATGTTAATTATTATTATGAGTTTTTCTTTATGTCTTTGCCAATCAAAAGAATTTTTATTTAGCAGATATGGATTGATTAGAAGTTCCAGGTTGAGTTTATTAAAAGAAACAGGCTTTTACTTTAAAATGTTGGCTATATAGATCTTTTCATTGACATTAAAATTGAATATTATAATTCTATGAGAAATTACCAAAAATGGTAAGAAATTTGCCCCTTTTGGTAGCCTATCTGTGGTTGGTAATCAGGTCCAGTTATATGTCAGGAATTCCCTGGTGTTGTCAGAGCTTAAATGACCTAACAGGCTGCAAATGTCACATTTAAAATTCTGTCTTCATGCCTGACTCTCAGCATGAATGAATTAAACGGCAGAGCAGGCAGCAAGTCGGTATGTTCTTAATAGTCAGAGTGAGCAATGAAACAGTTTGTGGTTTGTTCAGAATAGGTAAATAGAATCTGCCCAGAACAGTTCACCTAGAATAAAATCTGAAATAGGAAACAAGAGTTAACCTTTAAGATGGTTGACCAGATGAAATGTCAGTCATATTTTTACAGCTTGAGTGAACCAATAAACTGTGGTTTATGTAAGAGCTGCATTTTGCTATTATATACTATATAAATTCAAAGATGAAAATCTTTGACCCTGTTGAAAATTTTTATGATGATATTCTTGGCATTATAAGAAGCTATATTAATTTTAACACTGAATTATTAAACATTATAATGAAATTTTTGTAGTAACTGAATTTATAAAATTTTAATTTTAAGATACATGATAGAAATTTATTTTTTTTATTGAATAAAATTAATTTTGTTCTCAGGAGGTAATCAGGAAAGATCATTGTTAAACCAGACTCTTATAATCTGTTCCTCTTGTTATGTTCCTTTATTGACAGTACTACAACTTTGGAACTGTTACCATTTTCTGTCCAAGTGATGTTTAAGAAACATATGAGTTATGTTGCTAGAAGTTTACTTATAAGTGGATTATTTGAAAGTGGTTTTTTCCCCTAAGAGAATAGTAATAATACATGTAATAATTAGGTTCAGCCAATCCCACGAAACTTTTAAATATGTAATATATTTAAATTATAGCATTATTGTAGTATATATCTAAGCTCCACCTATAATAATAGTATGTTTTTATACTATAAGTAAATATTTTTTCTTCTAATCTTGAATCATGCTTTACCTATGCCTGTTTTGGAGCATGTGTCATTTTTATTTGAAATAATGTTATTTATTCACATGTCTTATAGATATATTTGATTGTCTTTCTGGATGTCCTTGATTTCTTGATATTCTTTTCAGCATCTAGCCTTGTGCCATGTATGTATATATCTGAATGGATGGATATATATATTTAATGGTATAGTGAGAGCCATATTATCTTTTTTCCCTACTACCCAGCCATCAGAAGCTGGGGCCTCTCACTGGTGGCACAGTTTAGGAGCTGAAGGAGAGAAGGAACAGGGTCAGAGGCTGTAACATGAGGAGCAACTTGAGAAATAGCAGAGAGAGAGGAATGTATCTCAGTCATTTGAGTAATTAATTTCTTGTGTATGTTACTTAAACGGCATTTTACAATGAGGAGGTAGGCAAGATTTCAGTATTACCATTTCATATTGCCAAATTATTTACCTCTTTTTAGGGGTCCTAGCAACATGATTGCACATCTAGGAAACCCAAGACACTCAAGTTACAAACAGTAGAATTAATAAGAGAATCTGGTGAGATAGCCAGCTATAAGATGAATAAAACTGGTAGCTTCTCTATATATGCAATAACTACACAGGATGGAAATGGGAAAAATGTTCTTTTTTAAAAAAAATAAATTTATTTATTTATTTATGGCTGCGTTGGGTCTTTGTTGCTGTGCACGGGCTTTCTCTAGTTGCGGTGAGCGGGGGCTATTCTTAATTGTGGTGTGCTGGCTTCTCATTGCGGTGGCTTCTCTTTTTGAGGAGCACAGGTTCTAGGCACGCGGGCTTCAGTAGTTGTGGCATGCAGACTTAGTAGTTGTGGCTCACAGGCTGTAGAGCACAGGCTCAGTAGTTGTTGTGCAGGGGCTTAGGTGCTCTGCGGCATGTGGGATCTTCCCGGACCAGGGCTTGAACCTGTGTTCCCTGCACTGGCAGGCAGATTCTTAACCACTGTGCCACCAAGGGAGTCCCAAGATGGGAAAAATTTTCTTTCACAATGAAAGGAACTATAAAATACTTAGGAGTAAATTTATCAAGTAAACCATAGGCCCTGTAGTGTAAGAATTGTGGAAACATACCGTGTTTCATAAGCAGAAAGTTATACCAAATATTTGATGGGGCAGGGAACTTAATATCATAAAAGTATCATTTCTCCCAAATTAGCAGTTCTAATTAGAATAGAAGCAAGTTTTTTTTTTTAATGTTAGAAAACAAAAATGACCACATAGTTCATGTGGAAGAACAAATATCCAGTAATAGCCAAAGAAGGTATATAAAAAGAGAGAAAACACAGCCACTAGAATTATATAGTTATGTATGGACAAAGGAATAGACAAAGGGATTAATGGAATACAATGAAAGAGTGGATTTCAAACTTTATCTATTATAATTGACAATAAGAAATACATTTTACATACATAATGACCCTTGATATATGTGTTTGTATGTGTATGTTAAAAATCAGAATTAAAAGTATTATGAAACATTAGCCCTTATTACATATGATGCACACTATTTTCTTTTTCTATTTTTTAAATGGCAAATAAAACATACTAAATTGATTTCAAAAGCAACAAATATTCCTGATCCGTGGCTTGAAAAACACTAGAACAGAGAATCCAGAGAAAAAAATTTATTATGTTTGATCATTAGATATATGATTAAGATGATTTGTATTTCAGTAGGAAAACAGTTACACTTCTATTTCATACTATGTAATACAAAATAAATTTTGTGTAAAGACTTAAAGTAAAATAAATAAATAAAATATTTAGAAGAAAGTTTAGGCAACTGCATTTTTAATCTAGAAGTAGGGAAGAACTTCTTAAAGAACACACAAATGCGGAAGATATGTTCAGCACCATAAAAATTCAATATTTTATATAACACAAGATACCACAATGTTAAAAGACTAATGTTAGAATCAAGACAAAATGTTTACAAAGAAACAGTAGTAAATTGGTTAATATCTAAAATATACACAGAATTCTTAGAAGTTTATTAAAAACAACTCAGAAAAAAAAAGAGATGAAAAACAGTTTAGAAAAAAAAAAACAACAAAGAGATGAAAAGCAGTTCAGAAAAAAAAACAAAGAGATGAAAAGCAGTTCAGAAGAGAGCAAACTTAAATGGCCAATGAATGAAAAGAAAGCCTAAAACTCAGTAAGGAAGTGCACATTACCAATTCAGTAAAATTATTATATGCCCTTCAAATTGGCAGAAATTAAAATCACATTTTGGAAAACAGTTTGGCAGTTCCTCAAAAGGTTAAACATAGATTTACCATGTGACCCATTGATTCCAACCTAAGTATATAAAAACATGCATCCACATAGAAACTTGTACATGAATGATCATCGCAACATTATTCATAATAGCCAATAATTGGAAACAACACAAGTGTCCATCAACTAATGGATGAATAAAATATAGTACATCCATACAGTGGACCATTGTTCAGTGATAAAAGGGAATGAAGTACCGATACATACTACAACATGGTGAACCTTGAAAACAAACAGTGTGTTAAGTTAAAGTCTGTCATAAAAGACTACACATTGTATGGTTCAATTCGTGTGAAATGTCCAGAATAGGCAAATCTAGAGAGACAGAAAGTAGATTAGTGATTGTCTAAGACTAGGATGAGGTGGGGGAATGAGGAATGACTTCTAAATGGGTATAGGGTTTCTTTTTTTTGAGTGATAAAAATGTTCTAAACTTGGTGGTGATCATTGTGTAGCTCTGTGAATATACTAAAACCATTGAACCGTACACTTTAAAAGGGTGAATTTCATAGTGTATTAATTATATTTCAATCAAAATGTTTTAAAAATTAAAATCACCCATTTCTGGCAGAGATGCTAGGAGAAAGATACTTGTATACCTTCTTGGTAGATATCTGAATTATTCCTACCTTTTTAAAAGGCCATCTTGCAACATCTACTCACATTTAATGTATATACCCTTCAACCCAGTGGTTCCACTTGTGAGAATATAGCCCATAGTGGTAATATATGAATAAAAGTACTAACATATAAGAATCTCAGTGCAATGATAATTTATAGCAGTGTTA